GAGCGCGGACTGTCTCATTTGAGACGGTCAATAGCTGCAAGATAAACGGACTTTCGGGTCTACCGAATAAGGGTCAAGGAAAACGCAGCGATGAAAACCTTAAACTTGTTTGGATAACAGTCACAAAAAACCTCTGTCCTTGCGGCATTACGACATAGTAAATGTCGCCCACACGCTAAAAGGACGCCAATCCAGCTGTTCAGCACAATTCTAGAACTATGGATTGATGTACTGGCGGTGTAGGTGGTGACATACAGGTTCTCAATCCACTGTGTGCAGGAAACCCCCTCTACCCAAAGCCATTATCTTTTCGACGGGAAGATAGGGCTGATCGACCCAAAACCCGCTTAGGATAGCCTATCAGTATATCGAGGTGATTCCCAGACATCTAATATTCGGTTTTGGCCGAGTGAGACGAGATTGAAATCATATCATCAGATCTACTGATTCAGATCGTAACGCATTGGAAGTCACCATAGTAAACGTCATTGTCACCTTTCTTATCAGAGTAGATCATCATCGCAACAGTGAAAAGTTAAAATATGGTTCTTTCCCTTGGAATCTGAAATGAAGCCTAGGTACAATTCGACGAATGATCCCCCTTTTCTTAGGTAAAACAGTTAACTGAGATAGTGCGCTTTCATCATGTTTGGTGCGCGCTGTTCTTATGCTACCGTAGGCTAGCTTTGGCTGAATTAAATTCTTCATTTTGTTTATAAAGTCTCCAAGAAATTTAGCTGCTTTAAATGTTTAATAACCAGATCTCCCTAAATAATATTTTGATGTGCGTAGTTCCAATCTATATTAAAAACTGCTTCACTTTGTGTCTTTTATGAATGGGGAATTTGTACAAAGTACATCAACGAAAGAATTACTTAACGTATTAATCAAGGTGCATTTTGTTTGAAAATAAAAATGTTGACGGTAGGACTGCAGATATTTTCATAAAATTTGCCCCTGATAGGAACGTCTTCATTAAAGAACTACAATATCCGACATTTTTGAGGTAAGGCTCACTTAAGCGGCAAAAATGGAAATGAAAATGTGTCAAACGCCCTCATCTAACTAAAATAGCAGGCCTATCAGCAGATTGGGGGGACATTCTCATGGTTCGAGATGAGATGATCAGAAGTTAACCGCAATACCGTGGTTAAGTGGCCCACTGGCCTCGCGTTTGTTTCATTAATCTCACACGAACAAACGGTTACCAGGCTCGAGTCGGTATACTGAGCAAAACATATTTCCGAAACTTTGAGTATGGCTTGTCGGAAAAACGGCGGACATAATTACTGGTGACTAGGTTGGAACTCTGATGGGAAACATTATTTCTACTGCAAATCAGTCAATGTATCTACCCAAAGAATACCCCAAGTATAACGAATTTCAGATTGTCTTACATGCTTGATTATCCGTAAATGTACACTAAGTGGCCTTACTCATGAAATGTCAACCGAAATTTCGAAATGCATTTTCGTTTCGAAAAGATTAATTAAGTAGGGTTGTAAAACTAATCAACCAACAGCAGACTTTCATAGTAATTCAGTTGTCGCAGGATGCCGGCTTTCGAAAGAACTCCCTTTTGGTTGCATGTAAAGACTACACTCTGTAAAAAATGACTACTTAAGTAGCATGAACTTTTCTTATTGATTTTCGATGCCCCTAAAAGTCAAATTATATTTTATGGAAAGCATGCATAAAAATGTTCCTTCTTTCGCTCATTCGGTAGACAGTTACGTTTTTTTTCAATTTTATGCGCAAAGAAAGATCATAAATCGGTTTCCAAAAACGTTTCTAATCCCCCAATAATTTTGAACCCGCTCTACCGTCACACTTGGATTCAGGGTTTCCAAACTACAAGCCATATATTTTCCGCGTACTGAAAACCACACATTTCTCTACGGTATTAAAAGGAGATCCTACAGGGTTCATAAAATTTAACATTGGATTTGATCCATATTGTTAACTTTACAGGCCACATTGGTAAATGCAGAGTCATGACGTTTTATGAACGGTCATTTCACAGTATTTAAAAGTCCCAGAATTAGAAACTTTTTTAAAACCAAATCATATCCTTTCTTTGAGTATGAAATTGAAAAAGACCTAGTTTTCTACCGAATGAGCAAAAGAATGAATATTTTTACGCATGTTTTTCATGAAATGTAATTTGATTTTTAAAGACGTCGAGAACAAAAGAGAAAAATGCATGCGACTTAAGTAGTCATTTTTTACGGAGTTTTGTTTTTGCATGCAGCCGGATGGAAGTTCTTTCAAAAGCCGGCATCCTGCGACAACTGAATTACTATGAAATTATGCCGTTGGCTGATTAGTTTTACAACCCTACTTAATTAATCTTTTCGAAACGAAAATGCATTCCGAAGTTTCGGTTGACATTTCATGAGTTGGCCCATCTGCTGTACTCCGCTGTGGCGGGGGTCTCAGCGCGATGTGAATAGAGAATAAATTTTATCTAAAAAACTGTTTGATACCTGGCCCTTGATTTTGGACCTGACCAACTACTTTGTGTCTTCTCATTTGCATTCAAGGAAGCTACGTACTACCTATACATCAAACACTGATACCGTTGCCCTTTGCGGTCGAAACCTACCAGTGTACTAGGTCAAAATTAGTTTCGGTGTCTAATTTCCTACTATCTGCATTTTCAGGCTATTTTTCAGGGTACCCTTAAATGCCTTTAAGACATCTGGTTTTTCCCAAGCTCGTGTATTTTAAGAAAGCCACGCACATACTCTAAATTAATTTTCGCCATACAAATATTACTGACATAGTCTAAGTAGCGGTACTTTTAACGAAATTCAGTCTGTACTCCGTCATTCTTTTGCAAATTCAGTTAGGCGAAATGCTGGCTTGATGACATGTTTGCCATCATCAAAGACGTATAACTATCGCTACACAGGGCTTAATCTAACCTTACTACCCTTCTACAGACCAAACAGCACAGTAGTTACTTCCTACCATGCTAATCAAAATCAAATCTTTATCGCTGTATCTTCGCGTAAATTTACATCCAAGTCTCGGGGTATCCCTGTTCTCATGCATTCCTAATTTTGCCCATAACTAACTCAACACAAGAAGTAGATAAAGTTCATGCAGCTGTTGTAACACACCATGGGAAATCAAAAATCACGGATAATTGGAAAACGCCGGCCGTAAGTCGGACTCTAATCGGCGATTTATCAAATCTAATCCGAGTGTTCCATCTTAAAGCTTAAGTAGCCATGGCTACCGGATATTATGAGAGGTGGGTCCGATGACCCCAAATGCACGTAAATAAGAGTGCGTTCTGCTACCAATCTGTGTGCGAATGAGCTTTTAGGCAGTTGAATTAGTCCTCAGAAGTCAAAGTTCAGGATCAGGGGCAAATTAATTTTTTAGAGTCGAGAAACTTCCCGCCTTTTGATTTAGCCAGTCCACCGTCGCAATATTAAGCGAAAAACAGCATTTCAGCACGAATTAAAGTCTTAAAGTTTTTAAAACAGACATGCCACACAAGAAAATGAAAATCCGTTTTGGCCAACTCAGTTAGCTCTGTCTTCCTCTCTCTCAAGTCCGCCAACAACTAGATTTCTGCATCGAAGGTTATTTTTATTTTCAAAAAAATTCGAATAAGAACTTACGGAGGCTGCCAAAATCCTTCTGATAGTATATATGTATATTTCGAAGAAAAATGAGTCCTTTTGGAAAGTGAACAAACTTTATTTCGTAAATTTTCGAGTCTGGTTGCCTAGTTCGTCTTCAGATGTGTAGCAAATGTGAAAAAACAGTTAAAATTTAAGCATGACCGAAAAATCGATGTAACTTTTTTAATGCTGAGGATGGATCAATTCTGTTGGTTGACGTCACGCCTTGATTGGTCATCACCTTTTCCATCTTTCTTTGAGATTTGTGTACATGGCGTCATGATCGATGCGCTGATTGATGCATGAATCATCAGAGTGTATGGCCTCTGGGAAGTCTCGGCCTTTCTTATTTGGGCAGGAACCGACAGTGCGTGTTTTACCCCAAGCGAATTTGTGCCCAGTTTCAAGAGTATGCATGGCGACTTGGGATAAGTGGTCCCGCCTCTTTACTGCCAATTGGTGTTCATGTAGGCGTGTAGAGGCGAATTTTCCTATTCGACCACAATATACCGCATTACAAGTGTCACCTGGAATCCTATAGACTACTTATTTTTTTATCCAAATAACCAAACCTATCCTTAGGGTGTGCAAGCCTACATGAACACCAATTGGCAGTAAAGAGGCGGGACCACTTATCCCAAGTCGCCATGCATACTCTTGAAACTGGGCACAAATTCGCTTGGGGTAAAACACGCATTGTCGGTTCCTGCCTAAATAAGAAAGGCCGAGACTTCCTAGAGGCCATCCACTCTGATGATTCATGCATGAATCGGCGCATCGATCTCGACGCCATGTACACAAATCTCAAAGAAAGATGGAAAAGGTGATGACCTTCATCATGTTAAATTAAAGGCAGGGCGAATGACCGGGTATCATTTATAAGGCTCTGAATCCGCCCAGTATAACATATTGTGATACAAGTTCGTTGTGTGTTCTACTTTAATCAACCTAAAACCAGGAAAACATTCTCGAATGCATGGGTTACAGCAATCCAGTCATGTCCACTGCAGAGTGTAAACCTACTTTGAGTCAATCCCTCATTTATAATCCTTTTTTTCAAGTAGACCTTTATTACGATAAGGGATTTCACGAAAAATTTTCAAGATTGATAGCTGGGTATTGCGAATAGAATTAACTTATTTTTACTTGAAAATGAAATGTTCGAGTCTACCCGAAGCTGAAATGTACTCGAGCGAAATTTTATCACAGCGATGCTGCAAACGAAGAAAACAGGACCCCTTTAATTCCTCAGTTCCTGAACTTGACGGCAATTGCTGTTTGGTAGACTGGGCTCTTTTTGATTCTTCGGCTTTATTCACCTTTTAGCTTAGCATGCACCCCGCCATCTACTGATCTGCATCTATGAGCTGGAAAAACGCCACTTTCGAATTTTTGCCCCCATCGCCGCGGAAAGATGGCAACAGTTTTGGCGCGCGGTCTCGCCTGCAACAACAGCTTCAGCATCTACGGCGGCGACACAAGACAAAACTGCAGGCCCTGCGAGAGCAACGAGAACGTGACTTCTGCCTCTACTTCAACATCCCCGACCCCCGACACCTTCGAGGTCCGGCGTCGGCCAAAAGGCGGCCTACAGGCCAACCCACTGCCACCACTACCGTCAGAAGTGTGAGTGCGCCCAGTGTAGATCGAACTCGGAAGGCCTGGAGCATGAGAAAAAAGTGTGAAATCCGGGCGGAGTCGGGTGAAGTCCTTTCCTTTGCACCCACCGATTACTCCTCTGATGGGGACACTGAAAATATCGGGAGTAGCGATTCGGTGGCTTGCGGTCCAAGTGAGGAGGGCGCACACATCGGAGGAGGGAGCAGTGGCCACGGCAGAGGAGATGACGACAACGCAGACACTGGCAGCGAGAAGGGCTTCTACAGCTGCCACAGTGAGACTTCAAGAAGTAGCGTCATTCAACTCTCCCCTTCATCGCCATCCCTTCCTGGTCATTCACTCCCGTATCTGCAAATTGAAGTGTTCTCCAACTGGGGTGACGAGGACTTGGTGGGTATTTCCCAGCTGGAGCTCTGTCCGGAGTCCCCCGACGCTCCATGCATGTCCGTAGTTGATGTACTAGTGTACAGGTCTCCCCCTCTGGATGATGGTGATGTCGCCTCCCACAAAATTGCCAACGCCACTCAGGAGTCACATTTATTCTGCACAGAAAAGTCCCTTCCTTTATCAGTGCGTGTATTCTTTGATGCAAGCAGGGCGCCCAGTGAAGCCCGATACGCAGTTGTCAAAATAAGTAACTTCTCTGGAGCAGGACGCTTTGCGGCCGGGGTGCGTGAGTGTCGAGTGACGTCAGTCTCTCCCCAGGCGCAGACATATATCATCTTTGAGGGTGAACTGCAGAAGGCCTGTGAGCATTCCGAGGCGGGTGTTTCCAACTGTTTCCGGTTCCCGCTGCAGATGGAGGACGAGGGGGCACTCTGCACGACTAAGAGCGTTGGGGAGCTGGCCACGAATGTGTTGCAGTGTTTGGAGGAGACATGTGAGTTCTCTTTTGCTCCATCGCCTCCCCTCTCACCTGGTTCTCCGACAGAGCACTCTTTGGTCGAAGGCAGCCGCCAACGTTTCGACGCTGTTGAAATGTCCTGGGGCTCGCTAGAGCTCTTCAACCGTCTTCAGGCAGGTCGACTTGGCGTCAGCAGTCAGCTGATGTCCTTGCCCGGCATTAACGAAAGTCTTTCCATTGTACGTGATTCACTCGAGGACACCACGTCAGTCAATGTTTCTGAAAAATCCAGGGAGGCTGATGGGAGACCAGATTTTGCGTTTCGCAGTGAGACTGCAGCAGATGATGAAGACGACGAGACGGCAGATGAGGATTTCTCGATTCCAGAGCTTCCTTCCGGAAAGGAACTCCTGCTGGATATTCTCTCCACTTGGGGCGATCCACATTACGTAGGGCTAACCAGTATCCAGGTTTTTACAGCAGATGGTCTCGAAATTTCTCGTTCATGCAGTATAGCTGCGTACCCGCCAGACATCAATATTCTCCCCCAGTTCTCCTCGGACCCCAGAGTAGCCGCTAATCTGCTTGACGGCGTGAACGAGACACAGGATAGGACTCACATGTGGTTGATCCCCTTCACACCTGGCAGACACCACTGGGTAAGACTGGTTCTGCCCGACGACGCAGAACCCATCGCGCTGATACGCATCTGGAACTACAACGAGTCGCGTGTCCACTCCTCCAGGGGTGCAAGAGACATTAAAATATTTATCGACCGTAAGTGCATATTTTGTGGCCAAATTTCTCGTGCTTCTGGCCTGGAACGAGGCAGACCCGAGGAATTCGGTGAGACCATCCTGTTTACCACCGACGAGGCAGTACTACAAAGAATTGCGCAACACGACCAGGTCTTCTTACGCGACATTGAGGACGAGGAATTGGATCAGATTGATGCTATTGAAAGACTGAGCGAGGGAGAGTCTACCACCACGGAGACGGAGGGCGTGAAGACTAAATGGCTGGACCTACGGCTTCTGACCGCTTGGGATGACGGCAAGTGCGGTTGTATTGGCCTAGCTGGCATTAAATTGCTTGCGGATCCAGAAGGCAGGAAGGAATCTCGTGTTTGGCTCATTCGACAAATAGACCCCCCTGTGTGTCAGTTTCCATCGGATGTACGAACACTGACCGATGGCATTAACCACACAACTGATGCTAATCATATGTGGGTCGCAAAGTTCACTGAGGGTGTGGGTCTTCAGCTGCGACTCTGGCTGATGCCTCCAGATGGCGGATTGTCGGAAGAGGAGGAGGAGGAGGACAACACTCCTCTCCTCTACGGGATTCGTCTTTGGAACTACAATGCTCCTAAACAGTGGAGTCATGCTTCAGGAGTCAAATTCTTCCAGATGATAGACGACAGGGGCCGCTGTTTGGGGAACCTTTTCGGCCAAGAAGGGCCCTTCCTTCTAAGACCAGGTCCAGGTCACCTAAAGTACGATTTCAGTCAGCAGTTTCTCCTCTCAGACCTCAGCGGCACCACCTGGATCTATCCTCCAGACAGCATATTCGTTCTTGAAATCTCTTTGCACTCTAATTGGGGTGATGAGGAGAGAGTCGGTCTCAGCGGTCTCCAACTGGTGGGGCCTGATAGCGAGACAGTACTGATCCGACCCGAGCAGGTTTTTCTGCATCCCGGTGTAGTCAGTGAGCTGGATCTCCTCTGGACCAACGGAGACATCTGGAACCCGAAACGTCTGGTCAAGACAACTGCTGCTGGGGGTGACTGTCCTACCTCCTGGTCCATGCCTATCAATCCGCAGGGACCGAATCAGATTTTTGTTGTATTTGACCGTCCTCTGAGATTGGCGGGCGCGCGAATATGGAACTACTTCAATCGGGGCCAAACTAGTATAGGGGCGCGTGACATTAGCATCCGACTGGATGAGCAACCGGTCTTCACAGGAACTCTGCCAGAATGTGGAACAGCTGCGCCTAACAAGCCGGTCATGATAACGTGGGGGAACCGAAATAGAGCCAATGACAGACAAGCATGCACGAGGTAATCTCATCTGCCCTGGTTAGGTAGGATGACAAACCAAATAATGGCCATCTTTCATGTCTTCTGGTGAAAACTCCAGTGATGTCTAAAACACTGCGAATATGTACCGTTATTCTACTGACTTTGGATTCAATGTAATCAGTCGTCTTCGTGTAAATTTACAAAGTTTTTACCTTTTTCACCTCCGCGCGCGTCTTATTTCCAACTTTCGACTCAATACGGTCCATATGTCGGGACGGTATCGTTGTCAAGACAAAGATTCCCAAATCAGAAGTCAGGTAAGACGGGTTGGCCTGGACAACCTTTACTGCAGAGGAAGTGCGTATACAAAGGCTCTGGAGGCAGTCGCCGCGAGCGCGCTCTCCACGCAAGTTGCCTTGTCTGTATCCGCCGTCGGGGTGCTCAGACCTAGCGCGTATGTGCGCCTTTCGTTGTCTCAGCGTCCGCCAGCCAATCAGAGGCGGGACAGCTTTAATTGGCTTCGAGCACTCACGAGGCCAGTGGCAAGCCTTGTGCGTCCCAGCAGCGAGGCGGACAGGAAGGCAGCGTGGAAAAGTAGCAGAGAGCAAGGAGCCGGGGACTGCCACAGGTAGGGTATCAACGTCTAGGACATCAGAAGCAAGTCTTGTTTGGAGCTGTCTGTAGAAGCTCCTAACGAACAGTCAATTCATACTGCGCCTTTGATTCCACCCTATGCTGTACGATTCCGTAGAAATAAGTTCTCTCCACCTTGCTCGTTTCGCGGCCAGACAACTAGACTAACACTTCCAAGTGACGGTTAAGCGGGTGTGGTGTAGTGGCCATCTCCCAGGCCCTCTCAGAGTTTCATTTGGGACGGCGTGGGTTAAAAGCATTTAGTCTACCGACCGGCTGAAACGTTATACGACTTTTTGTACAGTAAATGGCGAAAAACGTCTGTACTACTGGTGCGATTCTTCCAGTTCGCAGAGATGACGCTCTTTAAACACCTCCGCTCTCGGACAGTGACTTTCCAATCCTACCAACAGCCTACATCTGACAGAGATTGTACGTGGCCAACATTCACTCCTACACCAGAATGCAGCTGATAGGTGTACAATATGTGAACGCTATTTCATCAACAGCAGTTTCCAGTTTGTTGTAGCATGTTGAATGGAAAGCTTTCACGCAAGATGCACCCGTTAGAAATATTCATTAGGCAAAGAAGATGGAATTTAGGTCTCCGGGAAGACAATTATATTAGACCGAGCTTTCGCTGTTAGAGGAGCTCATATTCGGAGATTGTGAAAGAACAGTAACACATGGGCAGTTTTACAGCCTAACAACGCGGAGGGGCGGAGGCCCTGTGTCCTGAGGTGGGGCGGGAGTCACGCTCTCAGACCAGCTGTGGTTTTAAGGTCTGGCCGCCCTGTTCGTCCTTGACTGGGAATCGGGCTGTCACTTAGTGGTGTGAACATGGCGTACAATAGCATGTGGAAATGGGTAAAGATTCGAGGTCCAGATATTGTGTCGTGTTCATCATCCCCTAAGAAGACGAAGAAGAAGAAGAAAAGGAGAGGGCGACTTCATGGACCAAATTATATTTGAACTGACGTTTCGGAAGGCCTCTCGTTTCCATCATCAGAGTAATGTGTTGGCTGTTCCTGCTGACCTCGATTGCTTCGGCCTTGATACTTGCCCGGTATCATATCCGTGCTCGAGGCACGAACTATGGCCTGCCCGTTCACCGCCGATTAGCGTTGACCTCTCCGCGATTGACCGCCGATGGGCTCATGTCACTTTTGACCCCTTTGCGCCGTTGTAATTGTTGGCGAGCCAGCATGTTTGTCGGCCTCCCCCTCGTCACTCAACGGACTGATCAGTTGTGGGAGCTCATGTGAGTTGATCTGAGTCTCGTGACCGTCGCGGTGAGGTGGCGTCCCATACTGGTCACATAATCCCCGACCGGCTTCCCTCCTACTTTTCGCTGGCATCGGTTGTCGGCCACGCGTGACTTTGCTCGACTGTCCTGATGGTCTTGTCCGCACTGACTCGAGCCCTGTGCGTAGCGCCTGGTAGGCGGGATGCAGACCTATGGCTCTGTTGAGTCTGCCAGTCGAGGACCAACTTTCGAGCATCAGTTTGACCATCTTATCATTGGCTCGGCCGATTACCCTTGCCCTCTCAAAGACGAAATTGTGGTTATTCTGTTTGACGTGGCCACAAACCATAGATAGCTTGTCCTTGTGGTCGATTGCAAGCTGGTGCTCATGCATTCTTGTGCCAAGACGTTTGCCGGTTTCACCGACATAACTTGCGTCACAGCTTTGACATGGTATGCTGTAGACCACCGCTGATTGTTCTGTCACTGGTAGCGGGTCTTTGGGCCTCATTATTTGCTGTCTGATTGTTGACTCTGGCTTATGAGCCACACCGATTCCGAGAGGCTTCAGGATTCTTGCCGTCGCCTCTGACACGTTTTTCACATAAGGGATTGCGAGCCAAAGTTCCGGGTTTTCTCCGTCCGATCGCTCATGGTGGGGCTTCCTAAGACACTTGCGTTGGCTTTAAATAGGGGGTACAAGTACTTAATCTCCTCCTTCCTTCCATTGTCGTCGCTGCAGTGTGTTTGAACGCATTGGATGAGGGTCCTGACACAACTGCGTTTA